CGTCGGGATGGTTTCTTTCTGTGCCTTCAATAAGGCTTCTTTAAAATACTGCCAGCTGTCCTGGACTCCTTTCCCCTTCATGTTAACATCCCAGGGGATTCTTTCCATCAGATCTCTGAGGGAGTCAAAATCTGCTTTTTTGAAATCCAAGGTGTGTATTTTACTACTCTCTTTTCTTCCTTTGGTCAGGATCCTGAAATCTACCATCTCATGATCACTGCTTCCCAGGTTGTCACCCACCTCCACTTCCCCTATTAGTTCCTCCCTGTTTGTGAGCAGGTGGTCAAGCTGAGCACGGCCCCTGGTCAGATCCTTCAGCGCTTGTGTCAAGAAGTTATCCCCAACTTTCTCCCAAAACTTCCTGGATTGCCTTGTACTGCCGTATTGGTTTCCCAACAGTTGTCAGGGTGATTAAAGTCCCCCACGAGAACCAGGGCCTGCGATCTGGAATTTTGATAAATGCAAAGCCGTGTTTCTTAAACTGTGTTCCGCGGCCAAGTCGGAGGTGTGCCACAGAGAATAACAGAGTTCAAAATGGTGAATTTTTTTTTTTTTTTTTTTTGCTTAATAACTTTCCTCCTGACCTTTTTTCCGCTCTCTTCCCCAAACAAAAAAATCCTTGGTGTTCCTCGGTCTTAAAAAGTTTAAGAAACACTGATGTGAAGTAATGCATATTGGAAAACATAATCCCAAGTATACATACAAAATCATGGGGACTAAATTTGCTATTACCACTCAAAAAAGAGATCTTGGAAGTCATTGTGGATAGTTCTCTGAAAACATCCACATGGTGCAGCTGCAGTCAAAAGAGCAAATAGAATGTTAGAAATAGTTTAAAAAAGGAATAGAGAATAAGATAGAATATCTTATTGCCGCTATATAAATCCATGGTACACCCACATCTTGAATACTGCATGCAGATGTGGTGGCCACATCTCAAAAAAGATATTTTGGGACTGGAAAAAGTTCAGAAAAGGGCAACACAAATCATTGGGCATTTGGAATGGCTGCGATATGAGGAGAGATGACAAACTTGGACTTTTCAACTTAGGAAAGAGGAGTCTAAGGGAGGATAGGATAGAGATCTATACAATCATGGCTAGTGTGGAAAAAGTAGATAAGGAAAAATATTTACTTGCTCCCAGAACATAAGAACTAAATATCACCAAATGAAATTAATAGGTAGCAGGTTTAAAACAAAAGGAAATGTTCCTTCACGCAATGCACAATCAACTGTGGAACTCCTTGCCAGAGGATGTTGTAAAGACCAGGACTTTAACAGGGCTCAAAAAAGAACAAGATAAATTCATGTAGGATAGGTCCATCAATGGCTATTAGCCAGGATGGGCAGGGATTGTGTCCTTAGCCTCTGTCAAAAGCTGGGAATGGGTGACGGGATGGATCACTTGATGATTACTTGTTCTGTTCATTCCCTCTGGGATACCCGGCATTGGACACTGGTGGAAAATGGGATACTGGGCTGGATGGATCCTTAGTCTGACAGTCTGGCCATTCTAGGTCCTTATTATGGTGCTGTTGACAAAACAGGTTGCTCAGGAAGGGAAGTGGCTTTTACACACACACTTGAGCAACATATGGTAGATTGCCTAAGGCTGTAGCATAGCATGGGTGCCTGGTATTATAGGCAGGGGGAGACTGAGTATCCGCAAATAGCCTATTGTGGCCCCTCCCACAGGCTAGTGCACTTCCCACAGGGAGCTGGACGCATTGCCTGCCCAGTGCTCTAGGATCCAGAGTCCTGGGGCTGTGGGGTGGGTGCTGAAGCTGACACATACCAGGGCTGGGGCCTTGCCCCCCTACCTCCAGCTAAGTAGTGCTGAGATCATAGGCAACATTCCCTCAAAGTGGCTCCCAGCCCCCCATCCTTTCTCCTGTCCCTTCCCCTAGCCAGCCCAACCCCTGTGTAGAGAGTGGTTGATACTGCCAGACACAGTCCTCACCACCACCACACGGGTGATGGGGCTCCACTGCTACTACTGTACCCTCTCCTGTCTCCTCTGGGGACACTTTTTTGGGAGTCTCCTGCTGTGATCTATAAGACCCCACAAGCTGTTTCACTCCTGCTGGAAACATCTAAGAGTGAATGGGGGGAGGACTGGTCCCAAGCTAAGAGGCTGCTTACTTTGTGAAAGAGAAGGTGGGCCTTATGAGTTTGTTCAGCGTAAGCCTTTTACATGGAGGAAGATGGATTTGTTTGGGGTTTTGGTCTCTTTGGGGGGTTGATTTCCTGGGGGCTGAGCCCTCCCAGAGCTGAGCTAGTTCAGTGTCTGCGAGATCTGCGGGGGCCAGGAACCACAACTCTGCCTTGGCTGGGGGAGACCAGAGCTTCTGGCCCTGCAGGACAGGGCAGGAAGGTGGGCAGCAGTGGCATGATCAGCGCACTGAGGGATAACATGAAGGGGACTTCTGTGAGCTAACCCATCACACACAATTTCAGATCTTTAGAAACAGCAACCTTACATCAATTGTATAACATGTTACTTGTCAGAGCCTGCGTCATCTGGCTGCTTTTGATCATGCACCAGCAGTGCCTGGCTGCCATGCTCTCTCCATTTCCTCCTCACTCGTCCCCTCCCTGCTGAGTAGCACTAGTCCAATGGACTTCCACATTGGTTGGGTTTATTCATGAACCGTTACTTAGTCATTCTTCACAGCTGGGAGCTTCTTCTTCAGCACAGGTGGGTACAAGAACTGCTCTCTAATGCTAGTGCTGAGGTCCTAAGCCGCCTATTGCCCACCATGGGCATGCTGCCTGAGAAAGGATGGGGGGACTCCCGCACCTACCATCAGCAGGGAGTGATGGGCACTGTGATGAGCAGGTACATGAAGCATTAACCATCTTTGCTATGCCCTCAGTCACAAAACTTCTCAGTACTGTGGGAATGAATTTGCAGTACGCTTTTCGTTTCTTCCTTGCTTTAGCAAGATAAATCCTTTGTGTTTTGCACATGACACTGACAAAGCTCTGTTAAAGAGGAGGAAGATTTTAAAATTCAGACTATATCACACTGCACATATGTGGTATTTGCACTAATTATATTTATTATAAACTGACTTCCATTTTGTACATGAGCATCTTTAGATACATTGTAATGATCTAACACTCTCTTTTCCAGTTAAGCAAGCATGATCATTTACAAGTACCAATCCAGGAAGAAGATATGGCTGACTCAATACACTGCGCTTATTTGAGTATAGCATTGTTCCAATTCTTTTAAATGACCCATTTCAAGGCCCAGGTTCCCAAACAGGCAAGAAAATTTAAAATATGCATTATGGACACACTATTTCGTTTTCTTGTTCAAAATACAGCCACGCCTCACTAATTCCTATTAATGACAGGAAGAAACCCACCGTGCAAGCTACTACATTTTGAACATTAGAACTAGTTTCAAAACCAAAAATACTGAATCACCAAAAGTGTCAATTATTTATTATGCTACTGTATACGCTAGTGAAGTACTTGAGGTCTCACACTAGAACATGCACCATCGCATCTTAGAGCAATGGAGGAAAGCAAACATTTTTGTGCCTTATAAAGCTGCAAATCACAAGTTCTGCTTCAATTAGTTCCTGGCCCATGTTTAAAAACAAGAAAAATATCTTCTTCCCAACTGAAGCTCAGGAATCAGCAACTTTTAGTTAATGCAAACAACCCTTATCTGCAGAGAACTTTTCTTCTAAAGTATTTTGAGCATTTAAACACTAAGGAAGGTTTCAGGTGGTCAGCAATCAAGGCACAGTAGCCTTGTAGGAAATAATCTGGAAAGGAACCTTTTATAAGCTAGATATTTTACTTACAATTGATTTGTGTGGAGAGAAATACTTTATGCAGCACAAAAGATAGTTCCAAAAACGTATTACTCTTCATTGGCTCAATACACAACATCCTCTCCAATGTTCACCTCAGGAGTGTTGACGAATGAATTTTCTTAAAATAAACCAAAATGCTCAGTATTGTGATCTAAATGTGATACTGACTGTGAAGAGAGAGGATTGTTTCTATTGTTAATGGAGGTAACAATAATGGTTAATACCACACTTCAAAGAAGTCCCTAAGGAAATTCATTTCATTCCATATCCAAAGTATTACGGCATTCTGTTTGGTCCTCAGCTTAAGCATTAACGTGTTATGTCAGACATATCAACTGTGTGACCATGGAACCCTATGATGAATAAATATAGGTATGATCTTCTAAAAGTTCTGTCTATGTTTACAGTGAAAAAGTGTGACATGTCCTCTTGCCATGGTTTGTACAAAAGAGGTCCAGCATCCATTTCCAATGTAAGGTTTTAAAACATACTGCATCTTGTTCTTCAGCATTTTATAAATGACAACTCTCACGTACAATGTGAAACAGCAGAATAATGTAATCATTGATATTGCCTGTAATCTCCAAATGGGGAGGGCTGCAACTGGGAGGGATCATCTGAAAATTGAGGGCCTGTAAAAAAAAGAAGAAAATAATGAATACAGGCAAAAGAAAGCTCAGTAGGACAGTGATTTATGACAAAAAATATTAAGATACACTTTCAAAGTATTCTTTCCAATCCATCACAGAAGTGAGCCAACCCATCACTGCAGAATTAAAACCCCTGTCCCAATTTGTGCCCTCAAGAATGAATGCAGATTTGCCAAAGTTTTGCTAAAAGGCCTGCACAACAACTGTTATTCCCATCCATGAACATGTGAACTGGGTTAGGTATGCCACATAACTAAACACAGTGATTGTTCTGAGGCATCACCAAATCTTATTACTGCCAACAACATTAATGTGCATTTTTTGTATATTCAGTATCCTGGTGAAACTGACCAGCCACATCACAGAAGAGACACTATTATATGGAGGTCAAAAACCATTCCCAGGTAAATTTAATTACAAATGTCCTTATGTAAAGAGTTCTGTTCTGCTGACCTGAGAATTTAGGTGGAATAATGTGATAAGTTTGGGGGGAGGAGTGTAATAACAGAAAATCACTCTTCCAGTATTTATGCAGCTTTTTTAAAATATACATGTAATAACTACACATTTGGAAACCAACTATAAAATGAAAAACAGAATCCTAAAGAGCTCAGAAAATGAACTTACCATGCCTGGTATTTCAATACTTGAAAAGGGAATTTTGCTGTTTCATTCCCCATAAACTGTTACACTTGGTTTTTACACACAAAAGCTCATGATTCTATATATATTTTTTAGTCTCCAAGGGTATATCTACATAGCAGCGTTATTTTGGAATAACTGGCATTATTTCAAAATAACGAAGTGTGTGTCTACACAGCAAGCCGTTATTTTGAAATAATTTCAAACTGGAGGATTTCTTTCTCTGACTCCTGTAACCCTCATTTCACAAGGAGTAAGGGAAGAAAAAGGAAGAGTGCTCTTCCTTCAACTTCCTGCTGCGTAGACAGTGCCAAAAGCTGAATTAAGCTATTTCAACTTCACCTGTGCAATTGACATAGCTGAAGTTACGTATCTTAATTTTACTTTTTTCCCCTATAGCGTAGACATGCTCTAAAGTGCCACAGGACTACTCATTTTTAATGTTACACTTGAGCACTTGTATTCTGAGAAAGTATTATAGAAAAAGTACTGTAATCTGAAGAGCAGAACACCTACCATTCGGAAATTGTGTAGAGGCAAATCTTGTTAACAGGATACCAGCTCCTTCAATCAAAGCTAGCAGTATTCCTCCCATAGCAGCTGACCCAACCATGGCAACTGGTCCATCTAAAGAGGTCAGAATACAAAGCACATTGCTTTCCAAACCCCTGTTCTGCACAGGGCTGGCAATTTTATATATCACTTTTAATACAATTACCACCACTCCGGTGACGAAGTAGACTTGTCAGTCATTAATATTACAAATAGAAGTAGAAGTACCACACATACCTTTCCTTGGTGAAACAAGATGATACTGATGCTGTTTAAGGATACAGTCATTTTACTTGGCCTTTCTCTAGCACTTTTCACCTACAGACTTCTAAACACTTCACAATGCCTTAGTGAGTTGGGTACTATTTATTACTTGTATTGCAATAGTGCTAGGAGCCCTAGTCACGGGCCAGGACTCCATTGTGTAAGGTGCTGTAACTTTGTTATTCTCATTTTACAAAGGGAGAAATGAAGGCAAAGAGAGGATCTTCACTCCTACATCCATGCTCTAATCACTATTCAATGCCTCTTCATAGTACTGGCAGTGGCTAATCAAAAACTTCAAGCATGTGTAATGCCAACAGGCAGAACCAAACCTCAGACCTCTGGAGCTTAGTGCATGAGCCTCTATAGCTTGAGCTAAAAGCCAGCAGGCTCTCGGCTAAGGCTGTAAAGGAAACTCACTCTCATCTCTCTCTGTAAGTCATCTAAGTGCCACTACCTGGAACAGTGAACACCACACCCAGCAGATGAACCACACTGAGCAAAGTCCACCGCTTTTCATTAAAGTGTCAAGTCTCCAGATTCAGTGGTGCAATTAATAGATGGCAGTCCAAATTATCATCATGGACATTTAATTCAACATTTGGATTCAAGATAATTTTTACTATGAATATTAGACATGGTAGACTATATGTAAAATACTGCCCATGCTTAATTTGTCACCCACAAAATCAGATCTTCAAAATCCCGTTCAACTACACTGTGTTGCCAACATTAATACTCAACAAAACACTGTTCAAAAAGGTCTAACTGTACCCACGAAAGCTCATGATACCATCTACATGTTTTGTTAGTCTTTAAGGTGCTGCTAGACTATTCATTGTATCTAAGTTTTTGCTTTACTTCTGATTTTCACACATGGAACTATTCAGGAGAGCATTAACATGTTTAAATCCCATGGGTGGGACAGGATGGGTAGGAATAGTGTCCCTGGCCTCTGTCTGTCAGAGGCTGGAAATGAATGACAGGGGAGTCCAAATCACATGATGATTCCCTGTTCTGTTTATTCCCTCTGGGGCACCTGGCACTGGCCACTGTTAGAAGACAGGACACTGGGCTGGATGGATGTTAGGTCTGACCCAACATGGCTGTTCTTATGGACTTTTGAGAATACTTCCTGAATGGGGCCTAAATGGTGTATTGCGACTCAAAAAGTAAACCTTATTCCACTGCATTAAAAAGATCTTTAAATAACCATTTTGAATGTAAAAATGGAGGATTCCTGTGACACTTTAAAGACTAACAGATTTATTTGGGTATAAGCTTGCATGAGTAAAACCCACTTCTTCAGATGCACGGGGTGGAATCAGAGGTAAGGAGTATATCACATCACATAATGTTCAAGGACCCCTCCTAAAAGGTAGGTGCAAGGCCCACCAAATTCAGAATACAGGAGGGATGTAACAGTGTAGTCGGTTAATCAATGAACTGGTAAGTGACTGACTACCAGTAACACACAGCTATCAGCTCCTCTCCCACCCCACGGCTTTGCCAGTAAATTTTTTTAATGGGCTGGCTGTTAGCCTGGCTCACACCAGGTCCCAGGAGCTACTACCGCTACGGCTCTACAGGAGCTGGTGGGCAGGCAGCCTGGCTCAGTCCCGGCTCATGCCAGGTTCCAGGAGCTACCCCCACTAAATGTTATTGCAGAGCTGCAGCAGGGGTAGCTCCCAGGATCCGATGCCTGCCAGCTCCTAAAATACTCTTAGTGAAGAGCTGCAGCTGGGGTAGTTGCTGGGACCTGGCCCTTGCCGGGACAGGTTGCACAGGTTGAAACTCCTTGCCAGAGGAGGCGGTGAAGGCTAGGACTATAACAGAGTTTTAAAAAGAGCTAGATAAATTCATGGAGGATAGGTCCATAAAAGGCTATTAGCCAGGGGGTAAGGAATGGTGCTCCCTGGCCTCTGTTTGTCAAACGCTGGAGAAGGATGGCAGGAGACAAATTGCTTCGGTCCACCCCCTCTGGGGCACCTGGCACTGGCCACTGTCGGCAGACAGGGTACTGGGCTAGATGGACCTTTGGTCTGACCCAGTATGGCCATTCTTATGGGACTGAGTGCTTGCAGTGCTAACCCTTATCGATTAATTGTGCAGTCAACAAAAACGTTGTTGACTACATGATTAACCAATTACATGCTTATCATCCTGAGTATACAGCTTCCTCTGATCAGAACTTAAAGCAACATCAGGATTTGGTTCTGCCAGGAGCACAGGATGTGCCTGGAATGGGACTGCTTCTCATAAAACCAAACAGGAGACAGAGTCACCAAATCAATTGCTGGAAGTGAGCCCCATCCACTATGACTGAACTGGCCTTGTTAACACTGGTCCTACATTTGATAACTCACTCCTTTCTTTGGATCCCAGCCCCCATGATTTCCACTCCATGCTTCTGACAAAGTGGTTTTTACTCACAAAGCTAATGCCCAAATCAATCTGTTAGTCTCTGAGGTGCCACAAGACTCACACAGCTCTCTCTCAGACTTGCTACATTTTGAATGTGTTATGCCACTATTGATAAAACAGTCAAAATAAATGCAACGTTCTCGCTCTCACTCTCGTACATATATCCATCTAGCCAGCCAGCAGGACAACAGAGTGACATAACCAGGGCTCGACAAGACAGATCTGCGCATGCGCAGCTCGCAGAACCACACAGCTGGCGAGCGGGGCACACCACCGCTTGGCGAGCCCTGGACATAATTATGCTGCTCTGTGTCCCGCCGCCCCCAGCTGCATGGCTTCCTCCCTCCCCGGTGCTGGGAGAGGGGAGAGAGCTGGGGCTGCTGCAGCCCGGCCATCCCCAGTGTCTGGTGGGGAGGGGAAGAGCTGGGGGCTCCCATGCTATGGCCAAGCCTGGCCCTCTCCAGCAGCCAGGGGGAGGGAGGGAGGGAGGAGAGAGCCGGGGCTGCCTACTGCCAGAGAGAGGCGGGTTGGCGAGCATGGTGAGCAGTGTGCGCAGCCCCCTAGTATTCTTGAAAACAGAAAACAAAAAGCTTTAATATTGCTTTTTAAGCAAATGGGGTTCCAAAGTTTCATAAAAGATGTCTGATTATCAGATTATCACTGAAGTGTCTGATCATTTGAGATTTATAATTTCAAATATAAATGCTGTTCAATGCAGAGTGCAGTTCCTTACTTCTAGAGGCTAATATGGCTCCAGTTAAGGCACCACTTGTGATTGAGTTCCATGGATCTTCTTTACCCCTCATTTTCACCATACTACAGTCAATCATGGAAAAGAGACCACCCCATACTGCAAAGCTACCTGTTTGGGGGAAAAAATTAAAGCACAGTGAGGGACACTAAAGATAACAGATAACATTGTGTGTTGTAATATTTTAGGAAGCTTACTTCTGAGCCTTAAAATACAACCAAATTCATAAAAATTAGATTAAAACATACAATTGCATTACGCTACGTATCCTAACTCACCCAATAAAGTAGATAATAATATTCATTATTTTGTGCTAGACAACAAAAAACCTCCCAAATATCAGTAATTGTAAATGAGTCTCCATCTTAATAATATGGTTTAATGTGATCAGAGGAACTTAAATATTTAACTACGAATTCATCAGTGTAAAAGTTTTTCTTCTTCTACCATTGGTACCATCATAGAACTGTAGGCCTGGAAGGTATCTCAAGAAGTCTTCTAGTCTAGTCCCCTGCACGCAAGGCAGGGCTAAATATTATCTAGACCAGTGGTCTCCAATCTTTTTATGCCCAAGATCACTTTTTAACGTCAGAACAATCCAAGATCTTCCCCATACTTCCCCCAAGACCCCACCCCTTCCTTGAAGCCCCACCCCCTCTGTTCTCCTCCTTTCCATCACTTCCTATCCCCAACCCTTATACACTCTCAGGGGGTACAGCTACACTGCCATTTTTTTTTTTTGGATTCTTCTGTAGGAAGAGGTTTTTCCAACGTGGACTGTCTAGACTGGGCCAAATGTCAGAAAAACCCCTTCTTTCGGAAGCCCCCTTATTCCTTGTGGAATGAGGAATACAGGGGTTGCCGAAAGATCATGTTTGCTCTTCCGCTAAAAAAAGCGGAAGAACAAACACGTTCCTGGACGCAGAAGAGTTTTTCCCGAGATTCCTCTGGTATCCTGGAAAAACTCTTGTAGTCTAGCTGTACTCTCACTGGGTTGAAACAGGTTGTGGGGGCTCTAGGGTGGGAATGAGGGATTTGGGTGTGGGAAGAGATGAGAGGTGCAAGTTCTGGGAGGGAATCTGGATGCAAGAGAAGGTGGAGAAGGGGATGCTGGCTCAGGGAGGGGGGATCCAGGCTGGGGAGTTTTTGGGTCAGGTGGAGGGTTGGGGTGCTGAGCAAGCCACAGGCTTTGTGGTGGGGGGTGGTGGGGGTGCGGAGAAAGCCACAGGCTTGTGGATGTGAGGGTGCAGGAGTTTGGGTTGGGGTGCGTGAGGAGCTCAGGGCAGGGAGGTTGGGAGTATGATAGGCTCAGGACACAGATTTGCAGTGTGTGGATGGTGCAGAAGTGTTTTAGCAGAAGACTGAGGATGTGGGGATGCAGGAGTTTGGGGATGTGAGAGGCTCAGGACAGGGGGTTACAGTGTATGACAGGCTCAGATTTGGGGTCGGTACAGGAGTGTTATGATGCTGCAGCCAGATGGGTGCTTGGCCCCAGTTGGGGGTTTGTTGGCCAGGTTCCATTTTTAAATAAAATATTATGTCAAACACAAAGTTTCTGCGTTGTCTTTATTTATGAGAAGGGCGGGGAACCTGTTTTGAATCAGGGGTCACTGACCCACAGAAAAGTCAGTTGGGGCCACATAAGTGAGATAAAAAAAAAAAACCACCCACACTCCTCCAAAACCCCCCAAGTCTCACTAATGTGGCCCCAACTATGCTGGTGGGAGCAGGGGACAGGATACTGGGGAAGGGTGCTGGTGGGTGCTGGGGTGGGGACAGGGTGCCGGTGGGGGCAGGTGGCAAGGTGATGGGGCAGGTGGCAGGTTGCCAGTGGGTGCTGGGGCAGGGAACAGGGAGTCCCCAGCATGTGCCTCCTCCAAGGACTCCTCCCCCCACTGGGGAAGGACATTCCCAGCATGCCACAGATCTGGCCTTTCAGGTACCGCGCTGGCTGTTTGGGGGAGGGGGAGCAGCCAGCGCACTTCCTGAAACCCCGGAAGTGGCGGGCATCTGCAGGACTTCTGTCTACCCCATGGGAAGCCGGCGCTACCTCCACTGTTGCTGGAGATAGGTACTGGGGCTTCTTGGTGGTGGTGGGGAATGGGTGGGCCCCGAACGCTTTGCAATCGACTCGTCAGGCCCTCCCTCAGGGGTCATCTAGTCCAGCCTACCAAACTGAAGCAGGGCCAAGTAAACCTAGATCATCCCTGACAGAGGTTTATCTAATCTGTTTTGAAAAACAGCCAATGATGGGGATTACACAATTTCCCTTGGAAGTCTGGTCCAATGCTTAGCTAGCCTTCTAGTTAGGAAGTTTTTCCTAATATTTAACCTAATTCTCCCTTGTTGCAGATTAAGATCTTCTTGTCCTACCTTCAGTGGTCATGAAGAATTGATCACTGCCCTTAACATATGTGAAGACTCAGTTTCCTCTCAGTCTTCTTTTCTCAAGACTAAACACACCTCAAGTCCAGTTTTCTAAGTTATTTATCATTTGTATGACTCTCCTTTAGACTCTCTCCAACTTATCCATATCTTTTATAAAGCGTGGTGGCCAGAACTAGCATTCCAGGTGACATCTCACAAGTGCTAAACAGAGCAGATCAATTTCCCCCCTATGTCTTACTTACAACACACCAGAATGATAACTTCACAACTGTGTCTCATTGTTTACTTATATTCAATTTATGATAAACTATAAGCCTCAGATCCTTTTTAGCAGTATGACCACTTAGTCACTTATTTTCCAATTTGTAGGATAGTACTTTGTATCTGTTACTGAATTTCACCTCTTATTTCAGACCAGTTCTCCAATTAGTCAAGGAAATTTTGAATTCTAATCATGTTCTCCAAAGTGCTACCAGCCCCTCACAGCTTGGTGTTATATGCAAATTTTATAAGCATCCTTTCCAAGTCACTAACGAATGGCAAGAAAGGGTGTGGCAGAAGTCCTGCCGTTTAAAGGGACTTAGGTGCCTAACTGCAAAGCAGATGAAGGGATTCACAGCCATGAAACCTCTCTTGGAATTAGGCACCTAAACTAAGGCAGTCCTTTCTAGCAAAAAACAAGGAAAAGAAGGTGGCAGCAGCTATCCCTTCATTCTCTATAATTCTGCAGTAAGTGCATCCACCCCAAGATATGGTAGACCTAGGTTCAAATCCCAGCTCTGCTGGAGAGAAGGGACTTGGTTCAGTATCTCACTTCCCAAGTGAGTACCTTAATCATTGGACTGTGGGGTATCCTGGGACAGGTTGGTCCCTCTCATTCCTGTTAAAGCTGGTCAATCTAAATGATTAAGCATTCATTGGAATAGGGACTTGAACCTCACTCTCACATACCCTTGAGGAATACCCTCACCATCTCTCTGGCCAAGTCCAGTAGACTTGCTCTAAGGTGGCCTCCAAGCACTCCTACTGGATCAGGCCCAACAGGCACATAGATGGGCAAACACCTAGTCTGTAAATCTCACTGGGGCTTAGGTGTGAATTGGGTCTCAGGTGGACAGGCATATTACTGGAAGAAACATAGGCACCTGAAGGGTTGGACAGCAACTGTGTGGGAGTTTTACATTTTTTACTTAAGTGCCTCAAGTAGCAGTTAAATATTTCTGTAGATCTAGTCCTTAGAGGTGAAAAGTTCTGAATCCCTGAACTATTCATTTCCCTTGAAATCCTCTGGAGAAAAGGCTTAAGAATAATGAGCATACAGAACTGCAATTACCTCCTAATTGTGGTGCTCTTGTTTTAATAGCTGTCAAACTTCCCCGCAGCCGGTGATTTACACCCTAAAATAAACCAAAGAGGACAATCAGAATGAAACAAAACTAAACACAGTAAGTTTTACAGCTAATTAAACTGCACCCTTTCATATCCAATTATAGTTATTACTAAGCATCTGGAAGCTCTTTCATTATAAATCTGTTTGTGTCAATAAAAACCTGTCCATTTCAGACTATATTTTACATCAACCAATGAAGTGGAATTGTTTTTAATCCATACAGTTATCAATGCTTTCTAATATTTTTAATTTCAAATAGCATTTAGCATGTAATTATAACACCTGTAAACTATACAAATTAGTTCTATATCATTTTTTGGTATGGATGTGAAGTCTAATTGCTGGACCACTTATTTTTTTCTTTTCTTTTTTTAAAAGGCATTTGTCCACCACCCAGGTAAACCTCATCCCAGGAGGCATACCTGGGTGGTCAACAAATGCCTTTGATGTCGACACCCGTGCGTCCAGACTACCGCACTGAGCCGACAAACAGCTGATCGGCTCAGCGCGGCAGCCATGTAAATTTAAATGAAGCGGCGATTATTTAAATCGCCGCTTCATTTTCCTATGCTGGTAACCTAATCTACATGCCTCTGGTGACAGAGGCATGTAGTCTAGACGTACCCTAAGACACTAAGTAATGTTTCTACCACATACAAAATAAACATGACATGATAGTATCTTACATTTACATACAACAGAACCGCAGCATTACAAACAACCGAGTTACAAACTGATCATTTTACCACATACTTCATTTGAATTTAGAACAAAATGAGGCAGCAATAGTCAACAACAACAAAAGCAAACACTACAGTACTGTGCTAAATGGAAACTACTAAAAAAATAAAGAGAAAGCATTATTTTCCTCTGCACAGTGAAGTTTCAAAGCTCTATTAAGTCAACATCAGTTACAAACTTTTGAAAGAACAACCATATTGGGTTTGTTTTTTTTCAGAGCAACAAACAATCTCCATTTCCAAAGTGTTTGTAACCCTGTGGTTCTACTGCAGCTCCTCTTCTCCTGAATGATCCCAAATTGCTTCACAAAATATACATGCAGAGAACCAATGAAAGAGTGGAGGCTTGTCAACAGATAATCTCTACATAACATAATGCATACAAGCAAACAGAGGGAATTTCATCCACATGTTAGGGAAACTTAATTTTTCCTTTGTACTTTTTAAAGCAATTTTTCTATAGTCAAGTTTTACTATTTCTTCTAAAAAACCTTTTTTTCTCTTATATAATCAACCCGTTTTCCTCACTTTTGGGTATAATTCTCACAGCAACACTGTAGAAAAAAATATTTTTTTAAATATGGTTTTATCCCCAAAATTGATAGATCTCAAAAGGTGTTGCAAATGAAACTATGTTAAACTCTTTTTAAAAAAATATCTAGAGCACTGATGGGCAACCTGTGGCCTGAGCGATGGGCAACCCATTGGTGCTTTATGTGGAGCCGTTTTGTTAACTCTTACCCATGTGAAGAGTTGCTAGCTTCCACATAGGTTACTTTCCCTAAAGTTAAATGCACTTAAAGCAAGGGTATGTGAAGTGAAATGCATGCTGATGGCACACAACACTGACTGCGAGCGCTGTACGCTCCCTCTGCACTAAATCAAATCACTGCTATGGTTCAATTGGCACACCCTGCAAATTGTCTGTACATATGTGCAGTTAGCAAAACTACCTTACTCTGGGAGGCCATCTTGGTTATGATAATCTTCCAGCTCAATGACATGAAGAAGGGCCATTCATGCGGCCCACTCACTAGCCTAGGTTGCCCATCGCTAACCTAAAGGGCTTTTTTAGATAATAGGTTACTTGTGCACCCACACAGAAGAGAGAGGAACTCAACTTTAAAGATCAGTAACACTTCCAGAGTAGAGAGGGGCAAATAAATGATGTCTCCCAAGAGTCTGCGAAGCACTGTTCAACATATTCATAAATGATCTGGAAAAGGTTGTAAACAGTGAAGTGGCAAAACTTGCAGATGATACAGAATTACTCAGGAGAGTTAAGTCCAAAACAGACTGCGAAGAGCTATCAAGGGATCTCATAAAAGGGGGTGATTACATAACAAAATGGTAGATGAACTGTAATGTTGATAAATGCAAAGTAATGCACATTGGAAAACATAATCCCAACTATACATATAAAATGATGGGGTTTAAATTAGCTGTTACCGCTCAAGAATGAGAGTCATTTGGATAGCTCTCCAAAAACATCGCTCAATGTGCAATAATAGTCAATGAACAGAATGTTAGGAACCATTAGGAAAGGGACAGATAATAAGCTAGACAACATCATAATGCCCCTATATAAATTCACAATATGCCTGAACACCAGTATAAAGAGGGAGAAAAACCTGTTGAGAGTCTATGGGTTAAGTTTAAAGGAGCAAACAACAGCAGTGATGTTGTGGTTGGTGTCTGCTACACGCCACCAAATCAGGTGGATGAGGTTTTCTTTGGACAACTGAGCGAAGCTGCCAGATCGCAGGCCCTGGTTCTTGTGGGGGACTTTAATCACCCTGACATCTGCTGGGAAACCTATACGGCAGTACACAGGCAATCCAGGAAGTTTTTGGAGAATGTTGGGGATAACTTCTTGACACAAGTGCTGAAGGATCCGACCAGGGGCCGTGCTCAGCTTGACCACCTGCTCACAAACAGGGAGGAACTAATAGGGGAAGTGGAGGTGGGTGACAACCTGGGAAGCAGTGATCATGAGATGGTAGATTTCAGGATCCTGACCAAAGGAAGAAAAGAGAGTAGTAAAATACACACCTTGGACTTCAGAAAAGCAGATTTTGACTCCCTCAGAGACCTGATGGGCAGAATCCCCTGGGATGTTAACATGAAGGGGAAAGGAGTCCAGGACAGCTGGCAGTATTTTAAAGAAGCCTTATTGAAAGCACAGAAAGAAACCATCCTGACACGTAGCAAGAGAGGCAAACATGGTAGGAGACCGGATTGGCTTACAGGGGAAATCCTTGGTGTACTTAAGCACAAAAAGGAAGCTTACAGAAAGTGGAAACTTGGACAAATGACTAGGGAGGAGCTTAAATGTATAGTTCGAGAATGCCGGGGGGTTATCAGGAAGGCAAAAGCGCAAATGGAATTGCGACTGGCTAAGGATGTGAAGGATAACAAGAAAGGTTTCTACAGGCATGTCAACAAAAAGAAGGTGATCAGAGAGGGTGTGCAGTCCCTAATGGATGAAGGAGGTAACCTAGTGACAGAGGATGTGGGGAAAGCTGAAGTACTCAATGCTTTCTTTGCCTCTGTATTCACGGACAAGGTCGGCTCCTGGACTTCTGTGCTAAGCGACGCAAGATGGGAAGAAGATGGACAGCCCTTGGTGGGTAAAGAACAGGTTAGGAACTATTTAGAAAAACTAAACGTACACAAATCCATGGGTCCAGACTTAATGCACCCAAGGGTACTGAAGGAGTTGGCAAATGTCATTGAGGAGCCTTTGGCCATTATCTTTGAAAAGTCGTGGAGATCGGGCGAAATCCCGGATGATTGGAAAAAGGCAAATGTAGTGCCCATCTTCAAAAAAGGGAAGAAGGACGATCCAGGGAACTATAGGCCGGTCAGTCTTACCTCGGTTCCTGGAAAAATCATGGAAGGGATCCTAAAGGAATCCATTTTGAGACACTTGAATGAGAGGAAAGTGATCAGGAATAGTCAGCATGGATTCACAAAGGGCAAGTCGTGCTTGACCAATCTGATTAGCTTCTATGATGAGGTAACTGGCTCAGTGGACATGGGAAAGTCAGTGGATGTTATATACCTTGACTTTAGCAAGGCTTTTGATACGGTCTCCCACAATATTCTTGCCAGCAAGTTAAGGGAATGCGGATTGGATAAATGGACGGTAAGATGGATAGAAAGATGGCTAGAAGGCCGGGCCCAGCGGGTAGTGATCAACGGTTCGATGTCAGACGGTCTTGCCAGCAAGTTATTGCCACAATATTCTTGCCAGCAAGTTAAGGGAATGCGGATTGGATAAATGGACGGTAAGATGGATAGAAAGATGGCTAGAAGGCCGGGCCCAGCGGGTAGTGATCAACGGTTCGATGTCAGGATGGAGGTCGGTTTCTAGTGGAGTGCCCCAAGGTTCGGTTCTAGGACCGGTTTTGTTCAATATCTTTATTAATGACCTGGATGAGGGGATAGATTGCACCCTCAGCAAGTTTGCAGATGACACTAAGCTAGGGGGAGAGGTAGATACGCTTAAGGGCAGAGATAGGGTCCAGAGTGACTTAGACAAATTGGAGGATTGGGCCACTAGAAATCTCATGAGATTCAACAAAGACAAGTGTAGAGTCCTGCACTTGGGACGGAAGAATCCCAAGCATAGTTACAGGCTGGGGACCAACCAGTTAAGTAGTAGTTCTGCAGAAAAGGACCTGGGGGTTACAGTGGATGAGAAGCTAGATATGAGTCAACAGTGTGCCCTTGTAGCCAAGAAGGCTAATGGCATATTAGGATGCATTAAGAGGAGCATTGCCAGCAGATCCAGAGATGTCATTATTCCCCTTTATTCGGCTTTGGTGAGGCCACATCTGGAGTACTGTGTCCAGTTCTGGGCCCCCCACTACAAAAAGGATGCGGACGCATTGGAGAGGGTCCAGCGGAGGGCAACCAAAATGATTAGGGGTCTGGAGCATATGACCTACGAGGAGAGGCTGAGGGACTTGGGTCTGTTTAGTCTGCAGAAGCGAAGAGTGAGGGGGGACTTGATAGCAGCCTTCAACTTCCTGAAGGGAGGTTCCAAAGAGGATGGAGAGAGGCTGTTCTCAGTAGTGACAGATGGCAGAACAAGGAGCAATGGTCTCAAGTTGTGGTGGGAGAGGTCCAGATTGGATATTAGGAAAAACTATTTTACTAGGAGGGTAGTGAAGCATTGGAATGGGTTACCTAGGGAAGTAGTGGAGTCTCCATCCCTAGAGGTGTTTAAGTCTCGGCTTGACAAAGCCCTGGCCGGGTTGATTTAGATGGGATTGGTCCTGCCTAGAGCGGAGGGCTGGACTTGACGACCTTCTGAGGTCTCTTCCAGTTCTGATTCTATGATAAGGGGATGGTTGGATGAAATAACATGATCTTGGTAACTAATTGACCATTCATTTCCAGTTGGAAATAGGTCAATGGAGGGATGATAGGAGTTGCTATAGGGAACTTTCTGGGTGTCTGGCTGGTGAGTCTTGCCCACATGCTCAGGGTTTAGCTGATCGCCATATTTGGGGTCAGGAAGGAATTTTCCTCCAGGGTAGATTGGCAGAGGCCCTGGAGGTTTTTCGCCTTCCTCTGTAGCATTGGGCACAGATCACAGCTGAAGGACTCTCTGCATGTTGGGGCCTTCAAAGTATTGGAAGGCTTCAATATCTGAGACATAGGTGAGAGGATTATTCTAAGAGGGGTGGGCGAGATTCTGTGGCCTGCACTGTGCAGGGGGTCAGACTAGATGATCATAATGGTCCCTTCTGACCTTAAAGTCTATGAGTCTATGAAAATCAGGATCTAAGAATAATGAGTATGTGTCTAAATCAGAACAAAATATTTGAAACAAGACCCCAGAGGTAAACATCCCTTATTTTGCACTCAATGTTCAAAAGCTGTGTGTGTTATGAGGAAAAAACCCTAAATTTAATGTATAAATTAAATCTGCCTCAAGCTCTCCAGCTGCTTTACTTGACAGATAGGCACTTATCCATATGCAGCACATCTTACTGAAACTGGCAGCACTGAAGGGTTAATAACATTTACTCAGTTGTTCAAGTTTTCTGCTATATTTGGAACAGTAGAATTTCTTCCCCAGCAATTATGCACATTTTCGCCTAATAAACTGTTTTTCCTAAAAATTGTAGCACAAAATCCCTTTTATTTTAACCTACAAAGTGCTAGCACCTTGTTCAAGTGGTTGAGCCCCTGAGCATCCACTGAACCTCATTGCTTTGGAGTCCAATAAAACACCCTTGATTGCCTTCTTCCCTGTATCAATGGATGGTTATCCTAATAAAATCCATGTGTTCCCTGCACCTTTCCTTTCACCTTTAGCTTTCCCTAGTTCTTGGTGAAGATACGGATGCTTCATCTCAAAAAAGGAGAGATACAGATAGCAATGAGTAACAAAAATGATTAGGGACGTGAAACAGCTCTCATATGAGGGGGGATTAAAAAGACTGGGATTTTTCATCTTGGTAAGAGATGACTGAAAGGGGATATGACAGAGGTCTATAGAATCTTGACTGGTGTAGAAAGTAAATACACCTTCTTACAACACAAGAACTAGGGGTCACCAAATGACATTTGTAGGCAGGTTTAAAACTGACAAAAAAATACTTCATGCAATATACGTACAACAGCATATGGAACTCACTGCCAGGGTATATTGTGAAGACCAAAACTATGACAGAATTAAAAGAAAAAATCCTAGAGAAGTTCTTGGTCCATCACTGGCTGTTAGCCGGGATGGTCAGGGATGCAACAGCTTGCTCTGGGTGCCCTTAGACTCTGTTTGCCAGAAGCTGGGAGTGGACAACAGGGAATGGATCACTTAATGACTGAACAGAACAGACATTCCCTGTGAAGCATCTGGCTTTGACCACTATTGGAAAATAGTATACTGGGCTAGACAGACCATTGGCTTAACCAACTATGGCCACTACTATGTTTATAGCTTACCCTAAACAGAACGCTTATGGGTCAGAGTCACTCACAAAGAGAATTAGACACCCAACTCCCTAATTTAGGGGCAACTGATACTCAGAAATGCCCCTCTTAGCCGCATGCCTAAGCCCACATGGAATAGAAGATTTTGCAGTAAAAGTTCCTTAGATGCCTAAATTTCTATGTCAGGGTATGCAAACTACTACCTCACACTAGGCATGTGAATGCCTAAGCTCGAGTGCAAATCACAAACTAGGGGAACATACCGTATATTCCGGCGTACAAGACGACCTCTGAAGTTAAAAAACATCCCCCAAAAATCGGGGGTTGTCTTGTACGCCGGATGCCCCGCCGCCGGAGCCCCTCCGCGGCTTGGAAAGCCTCGGGGGAAGCCGGCGGCGGGGCATCCCAGGCGCACCTGGGATGTATACCCGGTGTACAAGACGACCCCCGATTTTTGGGGGATGTTTTTTAACATCAAAAGTCGTCTTGTACGCCGGAATATACGGTACATTGGATTTTCAAGTGTTTAGACCAGTCTACTGTCTTTAGTCTAAGTAAATACCAATTAACCACATTCTGGAGAGACAGTTAATGTATTTTATTTCTTCTAGGATATAATTCCCATACTGACCAGTTCTTTGCATATTTATTTACCAGTTAACAAAAAAAAAAAAAAATTAAAGAAACAGGCTTTAACTGTAAGTCACTGACAGAATATACTAGTGCTGAGTGTGAAAGATATAGAGCATCCTTTTCCAGGTGAGGACCCATTTTGACAATTCAGGAAGACGGTGACCCAGGGTAATTAAAAAAATGTGTGCATGGCTCCTTTAGAGCCACCTGGCAACCCAGATTTGAGTCCCGTCTGCTGGGGACCATCTCCAGCAGACCAGGGACACCGGGAGCAAAGGAGGCGGAGGGGCGCTGGGGTATAAGATGAAACCCTATCTTTTAATTAAAAAGATAGGGGGTCGTCTTATACGCCCAGTCGCCCTATACGCCGGAAAATACGGTAGGTGCTCCTCCGCCTAACTTGCATGCCTAGCTCCTTACGAAATAGCTGGAAGGATTGAGGAGAACGGGAGCGAAGGGGAAGGAGGAGCTATCTCGTAACTTTGGGCCCAGTAGAGTACTCACCCAAGACAAGGAGGAAATCAAGGATACAACTCCCAACACTTGTTGAGAAGGAATGAACTGGGTTTTGCCCCCCTCTTAGGTGAGTGTCCTAATCCAATGTTCCCAAATATGTGGGTCTTTTTGCAACCCTTCATTACATATATGCCTGGCATTGCAACCCTAATCCTGGCCCAGTGTGGAGAGGGGGCTTTGGGCCTGTCCCACCCTCACCCCTCAGCAAAAGCTCTGGTTTCACTAGGTTTGACCCGGCTTGTGACTTGGTGCCAGGGGTCACAGCACCACTTAATGTGGCTAATGAAGGATGGGCAGCTGAGCCAATTCTAAATGGCACTGCAACCCCAGGCAGGATACCCCAGCAGGAAGATGTCCCTTAAAGAGGTTTCCCTAGGGCTGCCACCGGTCACAGAAGCCATAGGGAGCATGCAGAAGGCAGCAAGGCTTCTATACAGATGGACCCATACTTTATGTGGATCATGGGAGATGGAGCAGGTTTATTCTCCTGGTCTGCAATCTCTCCTGCAGGGGATAAATACTGTCTCTCAATACGATGACTGGGGACAAGTTACCATGAAGAGAACCTTATGGGTATTTCCTCTTCTTAGGTCACTCCTACATGTTTCACTATTGGAAGCAAAGCTACTATTAGCTTTTCTACAACAAATTATTTTACTCACCACTGGGGAATTTCTGAACCCTTTGATAGCTTGGAAGATGCCACCACCTATGACTCCCATTGTGAAGGCACCACCACAGTCATCCACTATCCGCCAGGGGCTAAAGAGGAAAAACAAACAGAAATATAAAGTGCTGAAATCAAGGATAAAGAATAAGAAAACTATCAGAACTTTCCAATTACTAGGGATGTAAAAAGTGGTTTTAAAAGGTAACCTCGTAACTGCTAAAAATCTTAGCAGTTACATGCACTGAAGACTCTTTATACTGCAGAGTTTGCAGCAAAACTTCCCTGGGAGCAGGGCGGGCAGGGGCAGGTGGCCCCACTTCTAGGGAGACTTTGCTGTGAGATCTGCAGGTAGCTCTGCAAGGTAGGGATCCATAGTGTGAACCTGTAGCAGAGGAGTCAGGCCCACTGCAAAGAGGGGCTGCTTTGACCAGCCAGAGAAACCCCTGCCTGCAGTGGGCCCAGTGGGGCTAGAGCAGCCCTCTGTCCAGAATGGGTGGGGAGCTGCTCCAGCCCCTACCAGCTTTCCTGTTAACCTTTTACACCCCTGTCGATTACACATTAACTTTATGTACCTACGCTCTCCCAAAATACTTACCAAGTTCTAAGGTTCTCTGCAAAGTCACGCATTAAGTTATTATACATAATTTATGGTATTTGGGCTCAGTTACAATTTTTACTTCATTTGATTCTATGCTTTCTTATACATACAGTGCCACTCCCTACCAGCACAACCTGATTGTATTTTGTACCCTGGTATTACTATGTCCCATTGACTGTCCTCCTTCCATCAAGTTTCTGTGATGCCTATGATATCAATATCCTCATCTAATACAAAGCATCCATCTTATTATTTAGACTTCTAACAATTTTACATAATCACTTTAGGACACAGAGAAACTCCACTGATTGAGCATCATCCGAAGGGATGCCTCTGTCCTAATTTCAGAGAATGCTGCCACAGAGATACTAGACTTCAATCTCTTACCTAGTTGCCTAAATTCGGCCTTTACAACCTCTCTCCTATTTGTCCTTATGTCATTGGTATGTACCTGTACCACAATCAGGTCTTCCCCAGCACTACACAGAAGAGTAGAGAAGATCTGCAACCTTGGGCGGAGGGATAGCTCAGTGGTTTGAGCCTTGGCCTGCTAAACCCAGGGCTGTGAGTTCAATCCTTGTGGAAGCCATTCAGGGATTTGGGGCAAAAGTTTGTCAGGGATGGTACTTGGTCCTGCTGTGAAGGCAGGGGCCTGGACTCAATGACCCTTCAAGGTCCCTTCCAGTTCTAGGAGACAGGCAATCTCCATTAATCTTATAAACAATGTTTTCATGTTAACCTTTGTGCCAGATAGGCAAGTCACCTGCACTTCTGCTAGTCACTGCAAACTCAGCTAAAGATCAACTACTACGGGTCCCTCCCTAATGACTCGACCTCCCTCCCCCAGAGAGGTGCCCTCAGTGCAGAGGGATGCCTGAAGGCCAGGCTTGGACCCTTCCCCATGGCTGCAGCTGGCTGTTCTTCCTGCAGCTGGCTCGCTGCTC